GAGCGGCAGCTGGCGGGGACACTGTCCCCACCTCTGCTGCTCTCTTTTGACAGTCTAAGGACCTGAAAACACAACTTTTAAGTGTCTTTCTGTATTTACGTAACCCAAACTAACTCTTTTTGGAAAGATCCACTCTGTCTCATTTAGATACCTAAATATAGCAGCTGCTCTTGGGAGTGCCCTGGAAGATATGGGACCTTCGTGGAGGGGTTTTAGGGGAGTTTAATAACTCCAAGCCCTTTGGAGTTATTCCCTTACCGTTCCCAGGGCTTGCTTGCAGCTATGCTGGGGCAGCTGCTCCCTGCAGTGGACGGGGTTTGCAGGGGACACGGAGCGTGCTGAAAGGTGAACTGCAGGGTTTTTTTTATGTCTCAGTGCCTTTTGAGGCAAGAGCCCATCTATGCCCAAGCATGCTATTTGTAAATATGCCGTCTCCCCTTGGAGGAAGGAGTCATATTCCAAAACATACCAAGCAGAGCTCAGCTATAGGACAAAATCTCCTGTCCTGTCCAGGAGGGCTCTGGTGGCGCTGTGACATCTTGTGAGGAAGAATTCAGGCTGTTGGAATAGCGCTGCCTAGTGTGGCATGGGGCTGGGCAGGAGAGAAGGAAAGGCAAGGAAAAGCATAAGGTCTTTCTTTTCTTGGGTGTGCGGGGCGCTGAACACGCATCAAAGTCTACTGAGCTCATTTAATGAAAAATGTGTGATTTACCCTTTAAAAATACCAAGATGAAAGGCACCTTGCAAGTGCAGTTTCCCTCTGTCATGGATGTCCTCCAGCACCTTGGACTGCAGGCTCAGACCTCAGCTGTCCTTGAACCCCAGCTCCACTGCTAAAAAATGGTGCTTGAAATGTAGAGTGCTCCCACCTGACGTTGTGAGGCTACACACTCCCCTCTTGTAGCTGGTCCAGTTCCCTGCCCCACCAGCCCTGCTCCTGTCCTGGCTCCGCGTGCCTGGGAACATCTCGTATGGTTGGCAAAGACATACGTGGCAGCAGGATCTGGGCACTTTCATGGACCACGTTCTTCTTCTTGATACATGCAGGATCTGTTTTTGCCTTCTGTGTGAGCACAAGCCGAGACTCAGAGATGGATTTGTCCCGAGCTATCTGATCATCTCGCTAACTTGGCCCGTGTGGCATAGTGACAGTCCCTCGCATTACCTGGGGATTCAGCAAGACTTGTAGATTGCACCAAATGTTGATGGAAATGTAATTTCTCGGAGATGCACAGGGCGGCCCATGCTTTTGCCTCTTGACCTCTCTGCTCTACCTCGTGATGTGGGTGCCAGGGTCGCTCGATCGGCTCCTTCAGAGGAAGAGAGGAGCTACCATTTGTCTCTGTGCGTGCTGGTCTCCCAGGAACTTGGGGCATGAGGCACGTGGTGTGCCACTTGAGTCTCTGCGGCCGGCTATTTATAAGCGTATAGAGAGGGGCACCCTCGCATGCCCCCCTCCCCTCCTCCACGCTTTGTAGCGCTGACACCACAACCTTGGCCTCCCGGCCCGGCGCTGTCGCTCAGCTGAGCTGCTGGAAGCGCTAACTGATCTGCCTTGTGATCCTGCCCCAGCGGAGGCGTGCATGGGATGAGGCTGCCTTACATTTTCTGCAGGAAAGTGGAGGGTCCCTCAGCTACTCGGCTGCTTCTCTTTTCATACCACAGCTCGTTATGGGAGGAGACCTACCTAGAGACCCTCTCTGCTGCCTCATTGCCCCCCTTGCCGTGCCCCGGCCGAGGGGCTGTGCTAGGGCAGGAGCCGTGCAGCCTCGCACCTCCAGGGCCCAGGCCAACGCAGCCCAGCTGCCCAGCCTTCCCTGCCGTCCCACCGGCGTACGAGCCATCTGGCCGAACAGTGGGACCCTCCGGGACGCGTCAGCTAGCACGCGCACATCGGCTTCGCACAGCGCCCTTGTGTAACCTTGCAACGCCCCTGCCGTGGTGCCCCCTCGGCTCTCCTTGCGCGGGCCCGGCCCCGCGCAGGATCGGCTGTGCCCCATGGCACCTCACGGCTCCTTGGTGGGCTGAGGTGGCCTGGATTTGAGGGAAGGGCCCTACCTTTGGGTGACACTCTTCTCAGGTCCATGTTACTAACCCCACGGAGAGTCAGCCCTAGTGACGTAGAGAAGGTAGAAGCTGCACCTCTGAAATGGGAGGTGGCAGCGTGGTAGAGATCCACCCTGGACCCGGACGCTGCGCGGGCAGATGGCTGAAACCATCACACCCCACTCTAAGGAATACAAATGTGCGGCAGATACAGTTACCCATCCCTGAGAGCGGTGTTAGCTTTCATCTAGATCGATATCGCGGCCTGTGCGTGTCTGAGGGAGCGCTCGGGTGGCAGCCCACGCCGGGGCAGGAGCGGGCACCTGCCAGGGCTCTGCTGCCCCGCCCGCGCCCCC